CCTTTCTCTTGTCTAATTGCTGTGGCTAATGTTTCCAGAACTATATTGAACAAGAGTGGTGATAGTGGACATCCTTGTCTTGTTCCTGATTTTAGTGTAAAGGATTTCAGTTTTTGACCATTTAGTATGATATTGGCTGTTGGTTTTTCATAGATGGCCGCTGCACTTTAATATGTGCTCTTTCCAACACTCTCTCGCTGGACCGTAAGACACCAACCATACACGCTTCTCAAACAAAATAAAATGGTAAATAACCACTCAGAAAAGCCCATGCAAGCACAGATTCCTCTTTTACTAGGACTAAATATTGTCACCTACATGTGGAAGGTGGGGATCGGGTCTTCTGCTTCTTTTGTTTCCCAACAGGGCCTGCCACTGTAATCAGACACAGCACTGCACTCTGAGAGCAGGGTATTGTGATGTCACTTTAAACAATAGTGACGGAGAGGCCTGGGTGCAGAGTCACCATACCGTACACTGCCTTCATTTTGCAAAAGCACCTAAAATGCTGCTCTTTTGGAAAACAGCTTTACTGAGATACACTTGACATACCATGTGACTCTCCTGTTCCTGGTGTGCCCAAGCTGCTTTTAACTAGCATGCTATCATATCTAAAACATAATTCTATTTCCAAGAATCAGACTCATGTTCTAGCAGAACCACTTCTGGTACAAGTTTGGTGGATGGTGCTACTTGTTTGTTCAGGTCTCTAACCTAAGGTACCATGCTGTGAGATGAAGATCTTAGGTACTAAACCAAACAAAGTAAATTCATAGCTCACAACTTCAGAAGGGCTGAGAAGGCACTGAGTGCACTGGTCCAACTCACAGGCCACTGAGGTTCAGGCAGGCTCAGGCTGGGCCAGGCATGTAGTTCTTAGCAGGCTGAGCTACTGTGTATGCATGTGTGTGTGCGTGATGAATTTTATTCTTCTGTACAACGTGACTTCAGAGTAAATCTCAGGATAGTTCCCACAGAAGGGATGCAGGAGAAATATTATGGCATAGTGATAAGATGGGCTCCCCACATCCTTCAACCCCACGAAGTCCACAGGGCAGGATTTATAATGACATAAGTTAGGAGCTTTGCTGGTAACCTCAGCAGAGGGTCCTTTAATTATGTGAGTTCCTCTGCTGAATTAAAAATGTGATTTTATTTATATCTTTTTCTGGACTCATGCCTGTTGGGTAATATGAAGTACACCTGTTCTTTATTCCACACCTTGTATGCATGGTAGAAAGGAGGTTTGAAACAAGTCCCATGTCCAATATATAATAGTATATTGTACTGTATATCCATATACAATACTGCATATCCATACACAATAGTTTCTCAAGCAGCACTTCACTCAGTGTAAGTATCCTCTAACATGCTTACATGGCAACGAGTGGCAGTGTGCTCAAGGCTGCTTTCCACAGGGAAAACGTGGTGGCTCATCAATCACTTGTTAATCTTCCTTTGCAAGGTACGCTTAAGGCCATTTATTGAGTTTTCTTGCATCTTGAGCCTTCTCCTTTTTACTCAGGGAAACAGGATAGTTTTAGGGTTCAGATAGGGTATGGCAGGTGTCCTCTCTGAGGCACTTTCTTAAACAAGCCAAGGGCTTAGGTTTTGGGCCAGGCTTTGTGTAACACACAGTGTGTGTTTGTCTGCTTGCATGAGGATATGAGTCACAAAATCACTGACCAGTTATCTGCTCCCAGGTCAGTAGGAAGAAAGGGGCAGAAAAGGAACAGAACTCTGGAGCCCTGAGGCTAACTTAAATGTTGAGCAAAGCCAATGAAAAGAAGAAAAGATGGATGATCACTTGAGTGGTCCATGATGTGCCAAAGCTGGAACATTCCATGTACAAAAAATACCACATGATCCATGCGTGGCGGCACATGACTGTGATCGCAGCTATTGAGGAGGCTGAGGCAGGAGGACTGCAAGTCTGAAGCCAGCCTGGGCAACTGAGTGGGACGATTTCAAAATAAATAAAAAGGACTGGGGACATAGTTTAACACTCTCTGGGTTTAATCCCTAATATTGCAAAAATCAAAGCCACAAACCAATCTACCATACAAAAGCTTATTAAAAAAAAAGTACAACACACAGCACAAATAACAAAATCCTACAGTATCAGTTCCATACACAAAGGACTCTAACATGAAGCATCTTAGTGCACATCTGAGGTTCAGCAGAAACTTCTCGGAGCCAGGGCAATAGTTTGTGACCATTCCTTAGAAACTGCGAACATTTATATTTTATCTTATTCTTTTCTAATTGAGAGCATTCTTCCAAGGAATCAGCACTTGTTCTCCTCCCAGAAGGTACAATAACCTACTTCAAGCCTGACAGACTCACTTCAAAAGCCAGCTTAAGGAGCTTTCACATAACTGGCAGTGCTCTCTCACTGTACAATGCAGAAAAGTGTTAACTGAAGGGAAACCCTACCCTTCTTGCTTGGTATTAGGTTTGGAATTCCAGAGGTAGGGCCTGGAAGGAAGGGCTCTGGGGTTTGTGTTGTCTGCTTATCTGTTTTCTTTTAAGCATAATGTATTCAGTTAGACGGGTTCTCAGAGTTCAATTCCATCCATTTCAAGGAAATGCAAAACCAATGGAAAATTACTACTGCAATTTTTAACAAGAAAACCCACCACCACTTAGGAATCACAACATTAAAATATTTTTTAATAAGCAAAACCATCTCAAGGAGGCTGCTTTCCTCAATAAATTGAATAGGGTGGGGATTTAGCTCAGTGGTTCCGCAGCCTGCTACACAAGCACAAGGACCCCAGTTCAATTCCTGGTATCCAAAAAAACAAAAAAACAAACAACAACAAAAAAAATGGAATAGCCAGCAACTTGATATTTTGTAGTCAGTTCTTACTAATCTTGACGTTATAGGTCCAGGCCTAAAATAAGAAAAGAACTCCCCTACCTAGCCCGGTACTACCATAGAACCCATACCAGGGTACTTGAAGACAATTTTGGAAAAGATGGAAAATGTCAAAATAAGACCATTCTGGCAGCAGATAAAGAATGGAAAAAATAGAGCCCCATTTCTTATCTAACTGGCAGTAAAAGCCATTTAGTAAAACCATGTTCCGCTGGGAGTAGTCATGTGGCCTCACCTGAGGCCAGTGGGGTTCTGATGCTAAACTGCCCTAAGACGTCCAGATGGCCACTCACAGAAGCTCAAGCAGCGCTGCTCTGGTGAAACAAACGACCCGGTACAGAGAGCTTGCAAACAGTGCCTCGCACATAGTCAGCACTCGAAAATCTTAACACTGTTTTTCTCCAGGGCACGAAGGCAAACTTCCTGCTTCCTGATCCAGCACGCTACACAGTAACGCAACATTTGCGTGCCCTTTCAGCTGTGAAGATCCAGCCTGGAGGTGCTCCTAGATTACTCATGCTGGGGAGGAGGCTGGTGAGGGCAGTGTGGGCCACCTCAGCCACCACTTCCTTCATCCGATTCAGGCTCCATTCTGCCCTGAATGTCCAGGCTGCCTCCCCAAATTTAACCCTTGCCGTTCCTCTTCTGTCTTATATGGTGGCAGCTCGTTGAGAAGGGCCTTAAAGCTCATGTGAAATCCTCCCAGGATTGGGGGCACTTGGCTGTATGGAATGTGAAAGATTGTCCCGTGGGCGGCCAGAGTCCAGAGAGGTGTGCTGTGCACACAAGCTGGGGACCACCAGGGACCCCTCACCCCTCACGGTGCTGGGCAGCGCCCAGACACAGATGGCCTGCGGAATCGCAGGAGCACCCCAGGCCTCGGGGTCCCCTCCTGCCCCCTTCTTTAGGAGCCGCCTTTCAAGCTCACCTCTGCAGCCAGGCACTCAGCCCAAACCTGACATCACAAAGAAGCCAAGAGCAGAACAGTGTGGATATTTGAGATGACAAACCCAGACCTCAGAAGGCCAGCTGCTTTAAAGAAGTTGGCAGCCTCCTCCTGCTAAGTAAGGGAAGGATTGTTTACAACTTCTGGAGAAAAATACCCAGCAAACAAACAGCCAGCTGCTTTGCTAGGAGACTACCAAATGATTCCTCAACTGTGACTCATCAGAGCCGCAGGTGGTCACTGCACTGGTCATGCTGTGGTAGAGGCCTGCTGAGTGTGCCAGCTCCGGCTCAGGTGTGAAAGGGCAGGAAAGAGGAGGCTCAAGAAGGGGACAAATGGTGGAAGCCACCCTACTCCGGCCTGGTCTGAGCTTCTGGGGTAGGTCTGAAGGATCTGTCTCGGAGAGTGACACATCGCCGGCAACAAGGGGAGAGAACTTGAGTATCCAGCCTCCCCTCTGTGTGCACGCAGCTGACTCTGAGGCCACAGCCCTGTTCAAGGGCAGCCCTGAGACACAGCTGCTCCGACGCCTGTGTGACTTGCTGGAGAAAACCTGAACTTTTACACAGAAAGTACTTAGCAATAAGGGTGGAGAAAGCAGGCTTTGACTTCCACCCTTTCCACCTAGCTGAGGGAGAACAAGTTAGGCGTAATTGGTGATTAGTCCCTAGAAGACAGTCTGGCGACAACAGGTGACCTTTTAAATTTTTCGGTAAATTATCTGACTTTTTGTGAATGAGATTTCTTCATAGTGCTCCCAAGCCCCTGAGGACTGCCTCACAGCCTCTGGAACGCAAAGGTTAAAATGCTCGTCTTCCTGACAGCCCCTGCATTATATAATGCTTCTCTTCACTGAGAGACAAAAGGAATCTGCTGCATTACAAATCACAAACAAACGGGACGCTTAGAGGTCAGGCTGCCAAAATAACCACATTTTCTCGATATTTTTTTTAATAATTTATTGCCAAGTCTTCATCCAAACAACCACTGGTAAATCTCAGTCAGTGGGAACCTGGCCCAGCTACAGAATGGCCTCACCGCAGTCACTGCAGGGTGCAGCGGCCCCTGGCTTTAACCAGACCCGGGAAGGGTGACCTCCGCGCCCGGCTCTGTCTAGGCGGTCGGCTGACCGCACCTCTTCGCGGGTCCGCCTGCGCTGTGAAGCTGGCAGAGCCCAGGCGGACCCAGGTCCCGGGGCCCCTCTGCAGCTGCCTGGCGCCCGCGGGGACGGGGTCTGCGGCGCGTGCAGAGGCCGGCGGCAAGGCCGAGGAGGCAGGCGCGGGGCTGTGGGTTCAGTTGCCCCGTACCCTCACCCTCCCTGCCAAGTCGTGGTCGCTGAGCGTGGGCAGAGCCTGGAGCTCGGGGACGCGACCCACGTCCTAGGGGCCCGGGCCGGCCGGGCAGGAGGCGCGACTAGGGTCTGCGCGGGCAGGGCGAGCCTGGCTCGCACTTCGGGGTGGGCGTCCGGGACGAGACCCAGGCCGCCAGACCCTCCGAGCGGCCCGGCCCCCGACCCCCGACCCGCCCGCTCACCCGCTGAGGTCGCTCACGAAGCCGCCGCTCCTTTCGTCCAGGAAGCGCTTCCAGCCGTCGGCCGTCTTCACCCAGCTCTGCCCCGGGGACCGCCAGTCCTGCCCCAGGAACGGCATGGCAGCGCCACGAGGGGCCGGGCGGAGAGGGGCGGAGAGGGATGGGACGGGACGGGGACGGGACCAGCGGGCGGCGGGGAAGAGGCGGGCGCGGAGTGCGGCGCAGCGCCGGGCCCGGTATTTATCGCGGCCGGGCAGCGCTTTGTTGCCGGAAGAGCCGCCCGCACCGCCCCGCCGCCCCGCCCCGCACCCACGTGGCTGTGTTTATGGGCTCGGCCTGGCCTCCTCCCCCCGCCCCGCCCCCGCCCGGCGAAACCCGAAGCCGCGAGTCCGAGTCCGCGGGCCCCGCCGCTCCGCACGGCCACCGAGACCCGCCCGGCCGGGGAGGGGACCCGCGCCCTCCCCAGAAACCCCGCCAAGTTTGTTTTCCATTTCGGAGAGCGCCAGGGGAGGGCCACGCACTGCCGGCCTGCGACGCGGCGCCCCGCCGGCCGGGAGCGCAGAGCACGGGCCGAGGCCTTTCGTCCGGGCCCAGGTTTCTTCTCAGCCCTTGGCACAATCAGAAACCGCGGCGTTTGCTTTCGCTTCCTGTTTTTGGTAAGGCTCAGAGCGAGATCCCGTGAGAGCCAACCCCTACTCCAGCCACGCAGCAGCCAGGCCCCGCCAGGCCGAGCCCGCCTTCAGGAACCACTCCGTGCGCTGAGAAGCGAGTGGACCCAAGGCGGTGGCCCAGGGTGGCTCCTGGCCCTTCCTCGCCCCTGGTCAGACACTGTGACCCGGGTCCTCGGTGCCCAGCGGCGGCGTCTCCGACCCGCGCCCCGCTGAAGGCTCAGGGCAGATGGAGAAACTGCACCTATGCGCCCTTGTTGGAGAGGGAAGGAGATGTTTTCAATAAGGTCTGTGTTCAGGTAGCCAGGGTTTCCTGATTAAGGCTTCCCACCATGAGTAATGTGTTAGGGCACTAGTAGTAAAAATGCCTCGTAAAAACACTGCAGAAAGCCCCAAACAAATGTTAAACACTGGTCATGCAGAGAGAGGAGACTGTGTTGGGCCTGATATTTGGGGAGAGTCGATATCCGCGGGGTACCATACCTGGGGGACGTGATTATGAAAGCTGGATGCTAGGTACAGGTCAGCCACGTTGCTCCGGAAACCACAAGGGCGAGGAGCGGGAAGGTTCAGATTCTGCTAGAGCAGCACGCTGTCTGCCCTGCCTGAGCGAACAACAAATTCCCAAGATGCCATGTACATAGAGTCAAACACAAGGGTGCGAGTGGTGCCGGCCTTTCGGTGGTTCAGAAGTGAGGTAGGCAGCCTCTCAGTGGGACTTTTCCCTCCTCCCTAGTGGCCTCTTGCACCCTGGCCACGGCCTCTGGTAAGCGGTGTGTGCTTTTCCAGGGCGTGACCTGCTCTGGAGAATGGGTGCCCACAAATGTAGTGTGAGCAGAGGATGGTGTACATGTTGCCTGGACCTGCAGCCAGTGGTCCTCCAGAGTTTTGAGTGACAGCTGTCCTGGGATGTGACGTAGGGAGCACTACTCCAATTGCCCCACAGATGTGTTAGCGAGAAATGCATGTGTCTTGTTAAATGTCTGAGGTTTTGTTGGTCTTTTTGTTACACAGCATGATTGCATCAATACTGACTACTACAGGGGGTTAAATGGATCAAAGTTGGTGAAAGGTTTTTTTTGCCATTTAAAATTCAAGCACAATGGGCCAGGGATTTAGCTCTGTGGGACTGTGCCTGCCTCGAAAGCGCAAGGTCCCAAGTTTGATCCCTGGTACCAGAAAAATAAATAAAATTCAAGCACAAGTAGGAAATCACATTTTTTTGTCTTTGTCTTTCTGGCTTCTGAAATTATTACCGCATGTCTCTTGATTTAAAGTCAGATGGTATACCAATAACTTATTTGAAATAGAAACTATAGCTCCCTAAAGATGTCTACATCCTACTTGGGCATGATGGCCCATTCCTATAATCCCAGCACTCTGGGAGGCTGAGGCAGGAGGACCACAAGTTAGGGTCCAGCCTGAGGAATTTAAATGACTTAGGGGGATCCTCTCAAAACAAAAATTTAAAAAAGGGCTGGGTTCCATATCCATTACGAGGACAACAACGACAACAACAAATTGTGGCTGTAACTCTGGTTTCTTCTAAAATATTATCAACTGCTTCAGATTTCCTTTGGGGCCAGGGATTTAGCTCAGTGATTCTGCCACCTGCCTTGCAAGGATAAGGTCCTGAGTTTGATCCCCGGTACCAAAAAAAAAAAAAAAAAGATTTCCTCTGCCATCAAAAGCTGACATTTTTCAAACACGTGGTTTCCACTGGGATGCCTTTTTATGCTGGGCCCCTCATGACAAAGTGTGCTGGCGGAGCCCACCTTCCCATCAGGTGTGGGTGAGACTGCAGCGACCCTGTGAGTAGCAGCTTCGTAACTGGGTACTGGAGTCACCAAGGGCAAAGTCCCAGAGTTCCCGCTTCAGGCTGAAGATGCAGGGGCTGATGGTCGCTGGGGAATCTGGGGTCACTGAGGAGTCCCCTCGGGCTGGGGGCGTGGGTGCTGCACACAGTGTGAGTGCTGTGGCCGTCCCTCACAGCTGACCCCGGAAGCTCCTAAATCCGCTGTCCAGGTTGCAGGCAGCGTGTTCGATTCCCACTTGTGCTTCCCCACGGGGCAGGGCCTTAGTGCTTTGGTGACCACAGTGCCCAGCAGAGTGCGCGCTGGATGGCAGGCAGTCACAGTTCACCGGCAGCTGAGCTGTCGTCACCAGCCCATCGCCTTTGACAGCGTGTTGCTTCTAAGGACACGGCAGGGTGGGAAGGAGGAAGCCCCTCCATCATCTGACAGCGCCTGCACAGCTGGTCAGGCGAGGAGGTAGGTGGATGGCAGGTGGCGCCCTAGGGAGGAAATCTTACTGTGGAGCCTCACCATGGCAGATGCCACACTCTGCAGACGCAGTCCGGTTTTTTGCTCTTCACAAACCCGAGAGCTGAGGGTTGTTATTCCCTTCCTATAGATGAGGAGACGGGCTCAAAAAGGTGAACAAAGCAGCCTGCCTAAGATCACCTAGCACCGCGATGGCAAAGCTTTTAGAGACGGGGTGCCTACACTGCAACCCAGAAACCACTTACTTGGAAAGTGCCAGCTCTGCAACTAGACCTGAACACTGAGGTTTTAGTTTAGAAAACAACTCTACATCCATATCTTTTGTCATAAAAGAAAAACAATATGTGTGCCATAGCTTCACCACCACTGGCTTAGCAAGTGTGTAATAGAACTCAAGAAGGTGTCCAGGTCTGGCTGTAACTTTGGCTGGAGCCAGGTTGTCAGGGTTAAAAATAGGCATGATCCTGGGTAAGTTACTAAGTCTCCTTGGGTCACACTTTCTTCAGTTGTAAAACAAGAATAATTGTAAAGTAGGACCCACTTCAAGGGAAGTCGTGAGGATTTATTGAGAAAGATGCATGAAATGCTTCTCAGGGCCAACACCAGCAGGTGTCATCGTCTTTGTGAGACTTCCTATTATGCCATCTTTCCTTGGTTAGGTACACACGTCCCTTCTACCAGGTGTCACACCTGGGATGCGGAGCAGTCACTCCACTGACTTCTAGATGCGGGAAAGGCTCTATGGCGGGGGTTCACGGCGTAAAAGTGTGACGTGGAACGATGGCTCGCATTGTTAGTTACTGTTTGTTGCACCTGAACACTGCAAATGACCTTATTCTGTGGAAAATGTGGAAGGCTGCATTTCCAAAGGCACAAATGGCACAAACGGGGCCTGTCGGTCTCCTCCTAGGACTGCTTGGAGACACTGTAGAAAGGGCTGTGAAAAACGTGATAAATATGAAGGGCTTTGTTGCTTTTAAACCAAAATGACATTCATTTATGGCTTTGGCTGAGGGACTATTTCTCACTGAGATGCAATGGTAATTTGGTTATTTCATGGTTTCTCTTTCTGAAAGTGTTTTTTTTTTTTTTTTTTTTTTTTTTTTTAAAAAAACAACTTATCAGAAGTAGTTGTGAGTTAAAAATAACTTGCTTGTGGTGTGGGCAGGAACAGGAATCAGCCAAATCTGTTCAAGTTAGAGTGAATTTCATACAGGAGGCCCTGAGGAATTCAGGGTACTGAGTTCCACCTGTCAGTGTTGTCACAGGAATATGTGTTTAATGTCACAGTGATTTGCATATGACCTTACAGCCCATCTGCCCAGGGCAGGGCACCCACAACAGTATGAAATCCACCTGTGAGGTGTGTTAGAGCAGGAACTGTCAGCTGTGTGTTATTTTTGGTTCTCTGGCTGCCACAAGTCCTGCCAACTAAAGGTAGTCAGACACATGTCACTGAAAATATGCTCATTACTTTAACGAGAATCACTTGGCTTTCCTCAAGTGTGAGTCTGGTCCTTTTTCTGAGAGTCAAGGGCATTGTGTTGTAAAACTTTCTTTCATAGACCCATTGCTCAGTTGCAATGAGAATTCTTTTCTTTAGCAAGTAGCAAAAAGGATTTGGAGACAAATCTGCTAACTTTTGTGTAGTTTGAGGAAAGGAATAAAACTGCAACATTTTTATCAATAGAAGCCTAAACTTTTAGTGTCTCAAACAAACTACAGGTTTTAAAATAAGGATGTGAAATTTGTTATGGATGCAGCTTTCAGTACAACATGAGCGCCTGAAATCGGTTAAAACCAGGCTGTCTGTCCATCCCTCAAGTGCTCTTGAGTGGCTGAGCCACACCTGTTAGCCCTGAGCTTTCACATGTGCAGTAGAGCTTGGGCTGAAATCCACCTGGCGTGTGTTTGGAGGCTTACTTACTTAATATCAATAATATTCACATGTTTGCAAGTTAAGTACTTCCCAGTCTCCATTTTACAGATAGAGAGTGAAGCTCAGGCATGGCAACAGTGTGCTCACAGTCGAGCTTCAAATTCAGAGCAGACCAAGAGATGACTTATCCACGACAACCGCTAAGGCCCAAAGAACACACTTACGCCAGCAGTCCTGGTACCTGGACACCTCGAGGCAAACCAGGAGGATTGGAGTATCCCAATAATCTCTACTCACCAGCTGAGAAATGCAAATTGTGAATTAAAGTCCACATCCCCCGAGTTATACATTCCAGGGACAGGATTTTATCAGAGCTTCTCATGAAATGAGTTTGATCCG